ATTATTAGCTTGGATATAAAAAAATCAGTTATATGCTCTTTATAGTAGACACTGACACAAACACACACATTCACTGCCACACCCATGCACACCCACCCTAAAACAAAATTTAAAAAGAAAAAAAGAAAAAGAGATGTGCCAGGCATATATGGAGCAAAAAAGAGCTGGTATAACAATATCACTCAAACTAGAATTTGCAAAAGCATTAACATGTATAAAGAATATTTGAAAAGAGTATAAAAATTACAGATTTGTGTATACTAAATACAGACTTAAACTGTAAAACACCCAAAACACAAAAAACTACAAAAACTTAGAACTGCAAAATAAAATTGACAAACTTATTATAATAATGGCAGAATTTAGCACCTCTCTTAGAAACTACTTATTGGAGAATATACAGAGAGGATTTGAGTAACACATATAGCATGATTTTAAATATATATCTCTCTGTACCCAAAAGAGAACCCAACAGAGAATATGCATTCTTCTAAAACATGCATTCAACATTTTAAATGTTTAAAATTTACTATATACTTTCAGTCATAAAGAATCACAATTATTCACATATTATCTGGTCACTCTGCAACTAAATTAGAAATTAAGTATTACAAATAGTAATGAAAATCCTACAGGTTGGAAAACCTGGAAGAATAAAAAGCCTCAACAATGAATGGATTAAAGAATAATTCACAAAGAAAATTATAAAATGTATTAACTGAATGATGATTGAAAAACTAAAATACTAATAAAAATTAAGAAAATTTATGAGATGTAGCTAAAGCAGTACCTACAAGTTATGAATAGTCTTAAATATATTTATTACAAATAAATGAGCTAGCATGTAATCCAAGAAGCTAGATGAAGAAATCAAAAGAACAGTAAGAAAGTTGAAGCAATGAAATTATAAAAACAACATACAAATTAATAACCTAGGAAAAACACTAATGAGATACTTTTAAAAATTGGATCTTTTGAAAGCTAGTAACTAGGCAAGCCTCTAGAAAGTTTGATCAAGATAAACATATATATATACTTGATTAATGAATTATTCATATAATGGAATACTACTATACAGCAACTAGACTGAGTGAATTGGGCCTACATGTATCAGTTTACAGAAATCACAAAAACATATGTTAAGGAAAAGAATAAGGTGCTGAATGATAAAAATTTCTGTAGTCTTATTTATTCATTGAATAATGTTTTATATGTTTATATATAAAAACGTGTATATATGTGTGTGTATGCATGAGTATGTTGTGGGTATTTATGTAATAAAATTACCTGTTAACATTTTATTTCTTAAAAAAATTGAAGCATTATGGCAGAATGTTAGCATTTAAAAATCTTTAATAAAATAATATACATATGCTTGAAGTTTCTTTTTCAGTTTTCCTCTATCCCATTCCCTTCCTTCCATCTACAGAAGTATCCATTATCCTGAAGTCAGTATTGTTTTGTTTTATTTTACATTTCCAACTAGTTTTATACCTCTACATTTTGGAAAAACTCCCACTCTCACAAAGTAGTTTCTCTTTTTCCATTTTAGGGAACTATAACTCTCCTTCGACAATTTTGTTTTCTAGTAGTTTCTTTTGCATGACAAAGGAATGATTTCATTCCCTGGAAAGACGTAGCCGACCAAATGGATACTGGCATTTAGACCCAAGGCCAAAAAGAAATCAATTTCTTCCTAGCACCAGTTATGCTGTGGACATGTAAAGCATAAAAATGGAAAAGAGAGTCAGCGTTCACTACAGATCTTTAGAGTACTTACTAGCTCATTTGACTAGCATGGAAAGAATTATAGAGAAATATGAAAGGTATCGCCCAATGCTTTTTGAAAAAGGATGTTTTTTTATACAAATATATACTCCATCCCCCCAAATTCTTACATGTTGCTTTTGTGGAATAAAGAATTGAATATATATATATGTGTGTGTGTGTGTGTGTGTGTGTGTATACATATATTCCATTCAACATATCATAGTAATTAATCACCATGAAGAGATTTAGTTTTCTCATAAAGGTAGCCTATGAATAGCTTTCTTTCTGGAATAAAATAAGATTTTCATCCTCAGCATCTTTGCTTTACTTTTTTTAAAAAATTAATTAATTTATTGTTTATTTATTTATTTTGGCTGCACCGGGTCTTAGTTGTGGCACACAGGCTCTTTGTTGCAGCATGCGGACTTCTTAGTTGCAGCATGTGGACTTCTTAGTTGAGGCATGTGGACTCTTAGTTGTGGCATGCATGCGGGATCTAGTTCCCCCATCAGGGATTGAACCTGGGCCCACTGCACTGGGACGGAGCCTTACCCGCTGGACCACCAGGGAAGTCCCGTTTTGCTTTACTTTTGAAAATGTTTAACCTTAATTACGTGCTAAGTGCAGGTTGATTGATGATTACACAAATCTTACCAGCAATGGTAAAGACCAAAATCAGAGAGTCCAATTGCCTTTTGTTCATTCTGCATTAGACAATTGGATCCTTTTATAGTTTATCAGTTCCTAGGATATTTTCTAAAAATTAATAAATTGACTTTCTCAATGATACATTATGCTTGAGTATCCTGAGGGAAAAACTAACATTATTGACCATTTCCACATGGCAAGAATTTCCTCTGTGAGTTACAATTGACAAATTCGTTGTTTTCAGCTTTTCTTTACCTCCTATTATTTCTCTTTTTCAAATTTGAGGGACTTTTGTACATCTTTCTTGGCTCAAAAACTCACAGATGCACTGCCCAACGGTTTTTTACCCCTTTTTATTATGAAATTGTTGCTATTTAAAAGAAAATTCACAAAAGCATGCAATTATCCCCAAATATATCATACCAATATCCCATTTTTTGCAAGATAAATAAAAATAGTATATCCCAAAACTTGTGAATAGTAAAGGCTGTGAAGTCATATCTAAAAAACTTCAGTCAAGCTGATGTCATTGCCACCCACTGAAATTCCATTTGTATTCTACCTCCTCAGTTTTAAAATTTGCAGTCGTTACCAATCTATGTAAAATTTCTATACTCTTAGAAAAGTTCACAAATTCATTCATGTATTTTAGTAGACATTTAGCCAGACATTAAAAGTGATATAAAACTAACACAAGATATAATCATTTACCACAGGAATTTGGATTTGTTGAGCAATGTATAAACATACCAGCTTAATTCCTGATGGTGCAAAGCAGCATATGAACCAATGTCTAATGGGGTCAAATGCTCGTGCATTATAAAAGAACAATTAATTTCAGCTGGAATGGTCAAGGATGGCTTTGTGAAATTTCTGGGAGAACCCAAGTAGAACTCAAGTGGCTATCTAGTTTTTGGATATATAGAGACCAAGGGGAGTTGATAATTACTTAGAAACATGAGTGTATCTTGTTCAGGAAACAGTGAAGTGTCTGACCTATCTAAAGAAAAGGATCTGCACTGGGAAGTAGTGAAGAGAAAACTGATTACTGGAGCAGGTTGCATTGTGGAGGATCTTCTATGACCTAAGAAGATAAATTTAGAGCAGTGTTTATTAATATATGTTCCTAGGAGCATTCATTAACAGGGTTCCTTCAAAAGGATCTCCCAGGTGAAATAAATGTGGAAAATACTGGTTTTCTTTACTGTGGGTCTTCTCTAAGACATTACCATGTTAATGGGCATTTTGATTTCCAAAATGAAAATACAGCATTTCCCAAACCTATTTGACCATGGAACCCTTTCTAGAAAAAAAAAATGCATGGGTCAAGTATTCTATATGTATTGGTACCAATTTCCGTCTACAAATGGATATATGTAAGACAGGTACTGTTCTATATTTTTAAATAATTCATTTGGTTTCTAGTTTAATCCTTTGTTCCCAGATTGGCAAAAATTCAGGATCTCTCCATTTTCTCCATGAGTGTGGCCATGTTCTGGAGTCTTCTAGTGCCAAGGAGTTAGGTGGTTATGGAGTGGGGGGATGACACTTAACTGATCCTCTGTGTCATCTGTGTATGCTGGGCATCTGCTGAGATGTCCTACTTGCTATCTGGTCCCAGGGAATTGGTCTGTACAACTGTTGCTGAGACATGTCATTCAAATCCAGTGGCTCTCTTTGTTCCTTCCATACCATTCGCAGATTGGTGGGAATAACTTCACTGATCTGTTCTGTGTTGAGGTACTAGAAATTTCGTATGAATGTACAATGCCCCATCTTTCTTACATATGTCATTTAGTTCTGTGAGGGCTTCCTGATTCCTCTTGGTTTCTACTCAGGAAATGCGGCACGTGTTCCGTACACCTGATGGTTTTGGGCTTTTCCCATGAGGTTTCCACCTAAATTTTTACTGTGCCATGAATTGTTTTTGTTTCCTAGGAAACTAAATTTTCAAAACTGATAAGCAACAAAGAGCTCTCTTTTCCTCAAATTCTTCCGTAACTTCTGTTCCCTGAGGAAATGATCTGTCTCCTGAGACAGCTTAAGACAGGGAGAAGGGTAAAGGCAAGAAATATCTGAGGAAAAAATCAATTATTATTTCAAAGATATTTTCTACCACACTTCCTGATACCCCTTGGGAAGTGCTGGTCTAAAGAATGGACGGTTAAAAGCTGATCAATAAAATGATGTGTGTGGTAGTAATGCTGTCTTGAGTCACGATTTTCATGTGTGGTAGATTACAGTAATAGCCCTCAGTAAATAATGAATAACTCATTGTCTTTGTAGTCTTTTGTGGAGTACTTTCCTACATTGCCTCTTGAAAATCCTCTCGTGCTATTGGGAGCCCTTCTTCCACCATATGAAGAAGACTGGCCAGCTTGTTGAAGACATGGGGATCAACCCAGAGCCAACAGCAACCAGCAGACACGTAAGTTAGCTCCAGGTGTGAGCTGCCAACTGACTGCTGGTGCATAAGTGATCTTAGTGGACACCCAAACTGCCAGATGAGCCTCCACCGAAGTGTTAATATGAATCATAAGCAAATAAAATGGTTGTCGAACCCATTTTTATTGTATCAATATAAAAATGTACAATACAATACAAAAAATATAGTATAATATGGTAGAAATAGAAGATAGAAGAGATACATTGTGGGTAGATTTTCTCAAACAGGCATATATGGAATCAAGAAAAAGAAAAAGTCAAATGGGATGAGCTGGGACCTTGGAAGGTCTTATTTTTCATTCAGTGATCTAAAGTGGTTTTCTTGGTTTAAGGTGCCTCATGTTCATTCTTCTGCCAGGAAATTAATTTATTTCTCGATAAGATCTGAGGATTGAATCCAGACTCAACAAAATCATGCAAATGTTGGGTAAAAAGAGTTCTCAAGTGAGATATTATAGGAAATAAAGAAAAAGGAAGGGTCAGGTGTGACTGTGGAGATTCTAATCTTCAGTGACTTAGAAAATTGTAGACAGGTAGCTGGGTGGACCCGTGCTAGATGGGGCCTTGGCATCATCCTGCCGTTGTGCCTTTTTGTAAATCACTATCACTCTCACTGGCTTGGATTCAAGAGGTTGTTTTGTTGTCACCGATGGAAAAAAAAACAAAGTTGTCTTAGTATAAGCATATTCTCAGATATTAGGCTCATCTAAATTCCTCATTAAATGGATTTTCCTAAAGATTTCCTCAAAGCAATGAGGTAAATGTCATAAAACCAAGAAATGTTAAAAATATGAAGGGACTCACGATACATGTCCTCAGGTTCTGAATCTAAATGCTGCCTTATAAAATGGACTGCTACCAGTTAGCTTGATTAGATAGGCTCAAACAGTACTCGCTCTAATCTCTTGGGAACTTCTACTAGCCCTATTAATTGCTTTTTTACAAATTTATTTTACATCCATTATCTTATTTAATCTTTACAACAATCCTTAGATTTAGACATTATTTTTATTCACATTTTAGAGATCAAGAAACTGAAACTGAGCTAGAATAACTGGCCGAACTTAATGCAGTTGGTAAATAGAGGCACATGAGGTTATAGTCTGGAAAGGCTGTTTGACATTAAGTCAAGTCCTCGTTTTCTCAATGATGCTGGTTCTTTTCAACCTGTTTCAAAGGCACTGGGAACCTGTGGTGCCTCAGGGACCACTGGCCAGAAAAAGGAGAGAGAAGGGAATAAACCAGGCAGTGCTCTGGGCCCCTCACTCTAGTTTCAGCCAGAGCACATCTGATATATATGAATCCCATTTAAAGTTTTGTTTGAAAAAATTCTCAAATGCTGTATTATACCGTGATGTCTCCTAATGCTGTACTAGCAACTTCTTGAAGTCAGACCTGTCTTATCCTTTCTTTGGTTTCACAACAGTGTGAAACCTCCCCTGACCTGGAGCAGATGGAAATCATTGCCCTTGGGATGTGCTTTGGGCTCCAGGACAGCACAGTCTAAGGACCTCCCATGACCCCCTGGTAGCCTTGCTGTGTCATCAAAGCCAATTAAGTATTCACAGTACCTGCAGCCTTCTCACTGTTATCAGTGATATCACTGTTATTACAACTCATTGAGCTCTCTTCAAAGAGGGAAGTGATATCTTCTCCAAATATCTTGAGGCAGTTTTCAGTGAGAAAGTGTACAAAAGAAATCTGTAACACAAAAGGGCAAAAAACAGGGTGTTATTTTATGGCATAGTTATAAATCACATTTCATATGTGAATCTTGGCTCTAACAAAAATGCAGAATAATTCTGAGAAAAATTCAGACTTGATTAAAATAAATAAATAAGTATATATATATATATATATATATACACACACACACACACACACACACACTAGTTTTCTCTACGAAATAACTGATACTTTCAAGAGTACTTTGGGCACAGATTTTAAAATTCTTTTAATCAGTGGGCTAAAATTATAATTTGTGGCCTAATTTAAGTAGCTAACATTTTTGTAATGATGGTTACATCTTTAAAACTAGGATAATTTTCAAGTAACCCACATAGGATATTTGGGGCAAAGATGTATATTCTCTTATTAAATTTTATTTATTTATTTTTATTTAAGAACTTTTCCAGTTTTATTGAGATATAATTTATTACAACATCTTATTAAAATTTATAAAGTATCAAATACACAAAAACTTGTGAAATTCACTTAAGAAATATCTGAAATGTGGGAAGCAGTGATTTCTGTGGAAGGAAGCAGCTGGAGAGAAAACATGTGATGTGTTTTTCTGACTGTGTTGCCTTGCCTCATGCTTGCTCTGGGTAAGCTTGGGGAAGAGCTGTGTTCTTATTAGGCATGTTGTGGCTCTATTAGGATGTTCTGAAATCTTTTACTAGTTTCTGCATCCTGCAGTGGAGGCAAAATAGTGGCCAAGTAATTTTCTGAATGAGCCACAACTGGCAGAGCGAGGCCAGTATGTGTGGAGCCATGGCTGCTCATATTGCCCAAGCCACCTAGGATGTGCCAGCAGTGACCAGAGCAGCTAGGTGTTGTCATCACTGTGCAGTGATGAAACCATGGCTTGGGAACCTTGCCCAAGTTTACACATCCCTTAGTGATTAGGCTGAGAGTTGAACCTTGGCTCTCAGACTCCAAAGCCCAAGGTTCTTTTCTATCATATCATCCTACTCTCATCTCTCTATTCTTTAGTCTCCTGGATGAGAAAGGAGAAGTGACTCAGCTGCTCTTAATTTCCAGCTTAACAACCCACCTTCCCATACCCCACCAGAGTAGGACTCTGCCACTTCAGGGGAATGCAATTAAAACGCGCACTTTAAAAAACTGGTCCATCAGAGTTAATACCGCAAACTTCAGGTTCAATGTGGGGACTCTGCCCCACAAGGCATAAACATGAGAGATCTCATTACCTTTTTTGTGAAGTTGTTTTCTAATTCTGAGCTGCCAGAATTAGACGGGCAAAGAATGCTTGGGGCTGTACACACTGATAAAGTGTAAACTGTCATCTGATTGGATGAGGAATGTTGCGTAACACTCCAAAAAGGTATCACAAGAGAACTACCTTGCTTTTGGCAGCTGGTCTAAAAGACTAAAGACAGAAAAATGTACTTCTAAATGAAGCAAGTCATTTTGCTTAGGAAGTGGAAAGACAAAGAGAACAGAGTACTTCTTTGTATACCATGTACACAGTCCACTCTCAGAGTTCCAGGAATGAATGCATACAAAAATGTTTCATTGAACTTAATTCCTGAACCAGGTAAGAACTTCTCTGGTTAGTTATGTGTTTGACAAAGTTAAGATCATACCACTGGCAGATCGATCCTTTAGCATCTCTTTTTAGACCAATGGATTTCATCTCCAGCAATTCCATGTATTCAGAAGGTGTAAAATGGTCAAGGATTCCATATTAATAAGATGAGGAGAAAAACACGAATTCAATATCAACAGTAAGGCATGCATCTATTTTTAAACTGGCTTCCTGGGTATGATCAAGTGAAACCCTCTGACATTGGTCATTATTTTAGTGGACAAAGCTGTAAATTATAAGCTAATATTTTCCTAAGAGTATTGCATCATTACCTCTGGGTTGCAGTTATTTTCTCCTCCTCATTCCCTTGATCAATAACACCAAGCCATTTATCATAGAGACTGGCTGAAAATACACTTCCGTGGATATTTTGAAGAAAATCCTTACACAGATAAAAAATATATATTATTTTTATGATAAATACGTTGGAGAAATTACAGAGAAAACATTTAGTTGGAAAATTCAGTTCAGTCCCCACTTCCTTCTCAACTACACAAACTGTGATCCACACAGAGCTTGGCTCTGGTTATCCACTGACTTGCACATCCAGAAGCATTGCTTGGATTTTCTCTAACTAAAATTAGAAGCATAAAAGTAGACTCTGGGCTGTAGTGAGAATGACGCTAAAGCCCCTTCCATCACCTGGAACCTACTCATGTTAGCACGCTAGTACAAACTGACAAGGTCTGGTGACATCCTAAATCCTATTAGTTTCTTGAAAAGAAATGGACATACCCATTTTGCTTGTACTTTAGACACAATGTTTGCTCTTAATTCAAGCAAAAAAAGTTCTGAAACAAAAAAATAACCAAAAACCACACCTCCAACATGCTCTTGCACACATATTAAGAGAGAACTGGGCTTTCTGACTTGAGGTATGTATGTATGCTCCTTGGGGAAAAAAACTAATAATAGCTTCAGTCTTCCTTTTTTTAACTATATAAAAGTTCAGTTCTGCAGACGTTTAAGCAGTAGGTGTTAGAAATATATCAAAATCCCCAGTGGGAACTACATGTTACCCCTTACAACTCCTTGAATGGAACACGTCCTCCCAAAAAAGGAAATTGAAAATTTGGATATATTGCAACTTCTGAGTATCAGGGCTAGAGATATGCAAATGTAAGCTTCCTAAGTGGAGGCCTGGAAAAGTCATAACTTTAGAGGGCTGATGAACAAGTCTTAATATCATAGAATTGGGCCTATTAAAATTTATGAAGTCATAGTCTTCTGTGTAAGACTGAGGGGAAATTAGTGCATTGCCTTGCTAGTTTCAAAAGCACACCTTGCTTCCACTGGTCTTAATATGTAGCCCGACTTCCCTTAATAGTAGCTTGCTCAGGAGATGCTTCTAGGCAATTGTCATGATTATAATCCAGTAAGTGTTACTTTTATTGAGCTGCTGTTTGTGCCAGGCACTCTTTTGAGTCCTGGGAACAGAGCAGTGGAGACAATGGACAAAGTCTTTGTCCTCTCGTACCTTTGCTGTGTTATTGGTATACAGTACCCACTCACGATCATTAGGTTTTTCACTGTTTCCTAAGGAGTGGCCCCAATATACATGGAGAGAGGAAGCACTCCAGCTTTGGCTGGTTCTGGGAGTCTGGGAGGGTGCAGCAGGGCCTTTGCCTCATGTGTACCAAACTACATGCATTTGGAGTGTGTGTCTCCTCTCTTTCCTGGACCCTGTTCTGTAGAGTCCATTGGTGAGGCTGAGTGTGGTTAAGCCAGAACATGACGTGTGCAGAATGTGCCAGGGGTATCTGCTGCTGGATCTCTGTTTATAGATAGTTTAATGGCAGACTCAATGTGGTACTGATGATATATTCATTTCTGATTTAGACCAACTCTCTGGTTAGTGTGACACATGGTATTATACAAAGCCAAGGTTGCAAAGTTTGATTCCCCACCGAGATCAGTCAACTTTAGGAAGAGGAAACGTTGTGAATGTCTAAGAACTGTAGCCATGAGTAGCTACCCTCTTGCTAGTCTGTGCTTATAACATGGAAATAGGCAAGAGCCTACTAACTTTTGCTAGAAAATCACGTCAGTTCCGTGTGTGCACCCTACGGAGGGCAATACTCATCTTGCTATTTGCATACCTAGTGTGCGTTATTATGGTGCTAGTGTAGTAGGGGTCAACTCTAAGTCATTTCTGAACTGTTGCTATTTATCATATAGTCAGATTACAATCAAACATTAATAGGGGACAAGGAAAGACCAAATGTTACTGAGTTTCTAAGATCATTTTAATAAACTGTTTACAGTCATTACTACATTAACATATTTTTGTTCAGAGCTGCTAACAAGTACCAACATGGATTGATTAAATTTTTCTGTTGTTATTCCCCTGGTAGAAATGTAACTAGACACTTGTGATTTAGCTGTATCATTTCAAACTCAATCTATTTTTGTATAAATCTATTGAATTTTCAGAATTCCAAACTGATTTTGACTGCTGCACCCACTTTAAAAGTCAGATTTATAAAAAGAGGCATGTGGTAGGAGCTGGTTACCATGTAACTATAACCACGGGTGGTGGGTTAAACTACCAATATCAACAAAGGATGCCAAAGGTGGTAAAAGGAGGAAAAAGGAGGAACAAAGGGTGGAGTCATCCCTACACTAATTTTAAAGTAAAAGGCATTAAGAGACAGGGGAAGGAAGGACGATGAAGGGATCAGGTGTCCTCACTGAGCATTTTTTGATTCGTTGTAAGGCAAATGTTTACTTACTGTGGTAAACTTGTGTAACTATTTCCAAAAGCTTAATATGAATTTTCTTTAATATGAACTTTGCCTTCATTAGGAAGGTGGCGAGGAAGTCATCAAAAGCAGGAAGCTTGTTTTGGTAAACACTCTGTATGTGTAAGTGTGTGTTTTAAAGTTGATTATTTTTATTCTTTTGCATGGAGTGTTCAGGAATGAAGATGGGGAGGGTGTTGTGTGATGAAAAAGGAAAGTATATCTAACATTGTGGGACTTTTAACACCCAAAGTAGCTTCCTTCAGTTTTGACTTTGTCAAGTGTTTTTATATTATGCCTATTACGGTTCTTGGGCAGTCATGATGAAGGACCAGTCATATAGCTTCAGAGTTACTCTGTGTGTGGATAATGCTAGAACGTTCCCTACCTTTAAGATGGATGCTACCATAAGAACGGATTCATCATCCAAGTTCACTTTGTCCCCAGAGTTTAGTTTCTCCTTTAGGGCTCTGCATGATTTTATACTGGCTGATTTTCTGAAGATGCCTTCTGTGAGAGGCCCTTTTTGATTGATAAAGGAAAGCATATGCTATAGGGAAGAAAAGAAAACTATGTGGCATTTCCTATCTGCAAGCCCGGAGCACAAGCTTGCCCCCTTTTTGACAGAGCTGGGGTATATGAGGGTACAGTGCTAGAGCTGGAAGGACTGAAGTCCATTTGAAATTTTTTTTCAGTGTTTCCAAATATATTTTCTACCCAACAATCCATTTTACATTCATACACTGAAACATTTTAAACACTTGTTTAATCAGATTTTCCTTTTTAGTAAATTCACACTGTTAAACTTCTCTGCTTTGAGGCCTTTGTAGAATCCCCCTCTCCTCCTTCACTGCTCCTTTCTCATTATTCCCTATTATAGATGCTCTTTACTAAGTGTAGAAATCTTTTCGCCATACTAATTTCCCATTTGTTTATTCTCCTTTCAGTGACTGTATACCCCATTTCTACTTCCTGTATTTCCTCCCCTCTTTTAAGACAGGCTCAAAACCCCTCTCCTCCTTCTCTGATCATATTCCCTTCTCATCTGTCTTTCATTTCCTTTTGTTGTGTCTTCATGTCCTCTGCTTACAGAGTGGAGAGGTAACAGATATTGGAGTCAGGTAATCCAAGGAATCTGGAATCTGTTATGCTACTCATCTGCTATATGACTTCAGGCACAGCACATACTTTACTGAGGCTTTTTTGTTTTTCACTTATGAAGTGGGGAAGATGATAATCATAGTTACCCCGTAAATTTGCTGTGAAAAGTGCAAGGACTGGGGTAGTAGCTAGCATGTAACTATCAAAAGTGTGATAAATTTCTTCATATATAGCATAAGATTCCCTGCATGTGGTATAGTGCTTGGAGAGCGCTGACAATTCAGTATGCTAATTTGCTATAACACAGGTCAAACTCTGACTTTCATCTGAAGCAGTCTGTCAGGATTAAATGACTCATACTTGCCAGGGGATGAGTCTTTATGCTTAAGCACTTGAATTACAAATGAAATCTATGTGAGATATTTTGAGTCATAAGATTGAGTAAACTCAGCTGAAGGAGACTTGAGACTGAGTGTGGAGTTCAAGGAAGGAGATGAGAGAATATGAGGATGAGGTGGACTCTCAGATTCCACAGAGCCCATTTTCACTGATCTGAGCAGGTGCAGGTGGGTCTTTGCTGAAACCAGTGGAATGGACAAGAGTATCTTTTCCTGTTGTATTTGCCTCATGACTCTGCAGTACCTAAATCAGATCTTATTCTTTGAAGTAATACTAACAAAACTCAGTCAAAGCCAGGGGCTGTCTAATGACTTCTCCGCTTGAGGATAGAGTTGGATGAGAACACTTGCGCTCTCAGAGCTCCCCTCCTCAGGAGGGCTACAGAAGACCAAGATGAGACCTAGCAGAATTGGGGCAGGCGGGTGGTCATTATCCCACACGTCCTCGAGAGAAGCTCCGAAGAGCTGATTTGGCTTTGTGGGTGGTGGAACTGGGCACTGGTTGTCCTCACGAGTGCTGGAGCTCCGCCAAAAGGCCCAGTTTTTTTTGTTTGTTTGTTTTTTTCCCGGTACACGGGCCTCTCACTGTTGTGGCCTCTCCTGTTGCAGAGCAACAGGCTCTAGACGCGCAGGCTCAGCGGCCATGGCTCACGGGCCCAGCCGATCCGCGCATGTGGGATCTTCCTGGACCGGGGCACGAACCCCTGTCCCCTGCATCGGCAGGTGGACTCTCAACCACTGCGCCACCAGGGAAGCCCAAGGCCCAGTTTTTGACTGAACTCCTCTTAACTGTCTTCTGGCCTGAATCTAAGGAAGAAGAAAGATTATTACTAATAGTAGTTTAGTTCATTTAACCTGATTTCCACCACTTACCTTTTATAGCATGTTCATTGCAGTGGCTGGAAGAGAGAGAACCTGAGTCACTTCTTGTATAGAATTTCCCACATTCTGAAATTGGCTAATTGCATCCTGTGGTGTTAGTGTATTCTTCTTCACCATATCCTGCACACCAGTAGTTAAACCTAGAGGCTTGATTAGACTCAGGGCTGATTCTCCGAGTGACAGTATTCCCCAGACAGTGCTATCTACTGCCTCTGCACTGTGTCATGAGTCACTTAACCTGTGTTATACAAGTTTCCTGATGTTAAGTATTATCAGTGGATTCAGGTGTCAAATCTCATTTTAAAAGCCAAAAAGATTTGGTATTCAAATCAAGCAGAGTTTGGTAATCATTTACTTTTGTAGTAGGCTTCTTCCCACTCTTAGATTTCCTGTTTGGCTTTCTGAGTACCCGACCGTGGTCAACTTTTCTCCCATCAAAAGGATCTGCCCTTCATGACACATCCTGCCTGACCCCACTTTTCAGCCATCCTCTGGACCTCTCCTCTGGTAGGCCACAACCCTCAGGCAGCTCCATAGATGACCTTCTGCAGTCAGGGTCCTTGGGAAGTAGTCATTAAATGCTGGCTATATGGTAAGATGCCAGGTGGCCATCTTCCTGTAACACCCTACCCAGCTACCCAGAGATGATTTTTAACTACCCAACAGCCCCTGTCAAAGGAATGCTGACAAACGCTTTTCAGAAAAAAGTGATCAGCAATGAAAAGCTAAGTTCAAAGTTTCTACTGCCTAGCTATGAATCTTTTCCTGATGTTTGCTTAAGTAACCTGTTTAACATTTGCTTAAAAAACCTGCTTAAATAACCAACTAAAAAAAGTCAACAGAGGAGCCAAGTTGTAGAAAAATAAACAGATGAGCAACATTTTACCAAATATCCTTAAACGCCCATCCACTTGTCTTTTCTGAGACATAGTGAGTGTGTCACCATGTCCACTCATGTGGGCAAAACACTTGTGCTGGGTGAGAAAACCAGAAGGCTCCTGTTCTGCCACTTAGTTGGCTAGGTTACTTAAAACTCTTTGAGCTTTGATTTCTCAAATTTAACAAAAATGATGCTGCCTACACCCCACTGGACTACATAATGTACTCAACACAGACATGGCCCATAGCAGCCTTGATGAAGGTAATTTCCTCCCTCAGAGGGCCTACGGCAGCCTAGACATCGGTCTCCTCCCCTCAAAGCAGACCCCACTCCCATTCTCCGTTTGATTTTGCAGCCTCCAGAGATATGCAGTCATGAAGGAATGCCACCACTCTACCTTAGGCTCTTCTTGCCCTGACATGCATACCTCCATCATTTTAAAAGGAGAGAATGAAGAAAGCAAATACATTCTTAAATCCAGGAGGAGATTCTTCTACATTAACATGTACAAATGTTTAAGATACATGTTTATATAGGTTGAGTTGTTTTGTGCAACCTGGTTTCCCTACTCTTAAGCTGATTGTATTATTTCTAAAACTATCCAAATGTATTCATGTATTCCAAATGTATTCATTCATTGTTCAGCTTTAATAAGAATGCTCTTAAAAAGAGTGCTTTATCCCTTGCTACAAAGCTATATATCCATCTACTCCATGAGCATAGACAGAAAGCAAAATAGACATTGAGTCCTGTACTTTCTCAAAGATAGTTTCAGGCTTAGTTGGACCTTTCATAACATACATTGTTTGATATTAGAGTTCATGTTGCCCCTGTGACCATTAAAAGTGTATGCTATAGCCATGAAAAAATATGGGGACTATTAAACAAGCTAACGTTATAACCTCATCTTTCTTAAACAGTCCTGATAAGATTTAGGTTAGTGTTTCCTCATGCTCAAATTAGGGTTTGAATATTAAAAAATAAAATTTTTGAAACTTTGTGCTTATAGAATAATAATCATAACAATAAAAATACTTTAAGTAGAAATTCTATGCTGGCCTCAATACTTCCCAAATGAATAACACATTTTATTCAGAGAAAGAAATATTGATGGGACAATATTGGAATGGTAGGGGAAAAAAAAATTGCAAAAGGGAAGATTTTAAAAAACCCTAACTGAAAATATTCAGTCCAGTTCCAGTCGCCACCTGGGTCTGAAGCATACGTGGAAAATGAGGTTGCTCTGGGGGTAGAACTGAGAGTTCATTTCTAACCAGAACCCCCAAGGCCACTTCAGCCTAAGCCCAGAACAGATTCCAGGTCTTATCTAAGCCATACAGTCATCTAACCACCTCCTGTGAGGGCATGAGGTGCTAGGCAAAACCCTAGGATGGGGAAGATGTGTTCCGAGGCCATAAGAAGCTCATGTTCTAATAAGACACACAGATGTGTACAGACATAATTATATGTGGGGAGTGCTCTGGGGATACAGAGAAGGGAGATGTCTCCCTAGAGGAATTAAAAAAAAAAAAACAACTTTCCTAGAAGTGAGTTGGGTCTTGATTTCAGACCTTTGGGGTTTCTCTGAGCTTGATTCTGGGTGGGTGTTGGTGCCTGCCTATACCGCCCCCCCGCACCCCTACATGGAGAATAGGCTGTGTGTTATGAGTTTGCTTTCAGCAGTAGGGGCAAAAACCAAGAGAAGACACTTGCAGGAAGGGAAGGGGCTTACCTTTCCCCACTGATTCCTGGCTTGGATCCTGGCTGAGTGCTTGGGTTTCACCGGGCTTGAATCTCTTGGGACTCCTGCTTCAGGAGGCAGGCCTCCTGAAGGGCGGAAGGAGAGGTGGAGTCGTCCAGTCCCCGCTGCAGGAGCACAGTAGCTGGAAGTGGCTCATCTTAATTCCATAGGGATGTTCATGCCCTGTATGGAGAAAAATCTAAATGTAGATTCTGCTGATGGTGATGGGCGCGATCAAACCTACCTTACCGTGAGGAAGTGCGCCACGCTGGTGTGGCTGCCGTTCTTCTGGGCCTTCTGGGTAGAGAAGGCTGTGCCTCCTGAGTGAGCATGATGTGCACTGTCATGGGGGACACCCTACAGAAAGCAGGTGCCCAAGCAAAAGAGTAGAGAAAAATGTTTGTAGACACATTGCTTGGCTTGGACTGTATATATCCATCAGTGCATTGCACAATGTTGACTTTCATTATGTTTCCATCTGAGAATATTGAAGGCCTTCTAGTTTCTGCCTTGACACTCACTAGGTTGTACATCTTAGGCAAAGTACTTGCCTTACATTCCTCCTTTGAAATGCTTACCCTCACATAGACTCATAAGGATAAAAGTAAGTATATTAATAAACACTGGTGCTTAATATTTTAAAAATAATTGGACTATATATGTTAAAAATTGCTATGATCACTGTTCTCTCACACGTCAGTTTAACAAACAGATTTTTCATTTCCTTTTGTCAGTTCAATAGCCATAGCTATTCCAGAGCAGTGGGGTTGTTTGCCTTTATGTTTGCCTCCCACTGCTGCCTTCCCTCTGAGGGGGGTCCTGCAAGGCAGCGATCAGAGGCAAGGCTGCATGGTGGTGGAAACCCAGAAGCGAAGTGCAAAACAGTGTTTACGGAGTGGAAAACCACACTAGAAATCATTGGGAGTTACCTGCCAAGTGATTTTTTTTACTCTTTCAGGCTTTAAATTGCTTCCTCACCATAGAACTCTCAAAGACCCTGTGCTGTGACATGGATTTCATTTTTTAAGAATAGAATGAAAGTTCCTTTTCTTTCATTTCTGATTTATTATTATTATTTATTTATTTATTTTTGGCTGCGTTGTGTCTTCATTGCTGTGGCGAGCAGGGGGTACTCTTCATTGCGGTGCGTGGGCTTCTCATTGTGGTGGCTTCTCTTGTTGCAGACCACCGGCTCGAGGCACATGGTCTTCAGTAGTTGTGGCTCGCGGGCTCTAGAGCGCAAGCTCAGTAGTTGTGGCGCACGGGCTTAGTTGCTCCGCGGCATGTGGGATCTTCCCAGACCAGGGCTCGAACTCATGTCCCCTGCATTAGCAGGCAGATTCTTAACCACTGTGCCACCAGGGAAGTCCCCTGATTTATTATTGAATGTAACTTAGGGAACTCTTGCTTTTGCTTTTAATCTGGCGTAAATGCAATGTCAGTGCTTTGTTCAGAACAAGAATCACAGCGACTTACATCCTTTAAAGCAAAAGAAACTTCCATGACAGGAATAAAATACAACCAAATCACCAGGATAACCAGGAGCTAATCCATAATTGTGAATTGAGAGCATGTTAAATGCATTCAGAATGACTGCTAAGGTATCATCATGAATGACAGGCTCTTAGGAGTCCTTAGAGCCAGCCGTGGTGAGTGAAGCTGTTCGAAGCCTAAAAGTTGTCATCTATGTGGTTTTGTTTAACTTAATGCATTTTGTTAAAATAAATATATTTAAGTATTCATTTTTTTTCCACTTTATTGCTGACTGACTCTTACAAAGATGTCAACATTAAAAAAGAAAAACACATGAAATGGGTGAGGGGATTTTGTCCTCAGCTATGTACTTGGTGACTCAGTGTATTCTAAGACTGGGACTCTACATATCGTAGAAAAAACTCAGTTGATTGGATTTTCCAGATCACTTGAAAACGTTCTTCAGATCACTTGAAAGAGTAATAGCCTTACAGGATTATTGCAAGATTAATAAAGAAAAAAAGATACTGCATGTAAGAGGGAATGCACTAAGATTTCTAGCAGAAATCATTGTCACCTTTACTATATTGCAAGTTCTGCTACAGATTTTGTCCTTTCTCTCTTTTTTTTTTTTTTTTTTTTTTTTGCGGTACGCGGGCCTCTCACTATTGTGGCGTCTCCCGTTGCGGAGCACAGGCTCCCGACGCGCAGGCTCAGTGGCCATGGCTCACGGGCCCAGCCACTCCACGGCATGTGGGATCTTCCCAGACCGGGGCACGAACCCGTGTCCCCTGCACCGGCAGGCGGACTCTCAACCACTGCGCCACCAGGGAAGCCCCTTTCCCTTGTTTTAATCCCTCTTTTTTCACTGACTACACTGAACATATTTGCTAATCCAAGAGTATGTATTATTATTTCTAGCTAACTTGCTACAGTAACTATTTTAGGAAAGGTGTAATCTGTTTATCAAAAACCTCAAGAGCAATGCTGGTAAACTCAGCTTGAGAAATAGCAAAGTACAGGTGGTTTAGTCAGTGAAGACTTGAAGAGTCTGAGTGTGATTATCTCATTTTCTTTATGATGCTGAGAAAAGTTGTGGGCACAGAGCAGGTATTAAATAAATGTATTTGGGTTCAGAGGCATGGCTGGATTTTAGAAGATTCTCACAAAATGGAAACTATTTAGTAGTTAGGAAATGGAACAGAGGACTTCAAGACTGGAATATGAAAAATAATGTATGAGAAAAAGAAATTCCAGTTTTGTGTTGCTTTCATACCTAAGTAAGTAAGTAAAGAGTAAGTAAATAAATATCTTCAAGATAACTCTGTTTGTCAAGTGAAGAAAGCAAAGAAGAAAAATTCACATTTCTCTCCCCAACTAGACCACAAATTGCTGAATGAAAAGATGTTATCAGTGCTTGGGATAGAGTAAGTGCTTGGAATTATTTAATAAATCCATGAATAAATATTGCATGGTATTTTCACTTTTAAGGGTATTTAAGCTTAAGACTGATCAACCATTACTTTGAGACTTTAGGGTCACAATTTTGAACCCAATCATCCCCATCTTAGGTTTTCCCTGACACTTAACCAGTGAGTAGGTATGAGGCCTCTTTCTTGCCAGAACTGACCCACAGCTGGTAATCTTTCTCAGAGCCCTTGGAGACAAAAAGAACTATGTGTCACAGCAAATCTTCCCAGTAGGTACTTGAAAACACATTTCCTTAGCATTTCTGTACTTCCAAAAAAAAGAATTTGGGCTAGTATAAATGCTATTTGGTCCATAGGGGTGGCTACAATTTTTTGAGTTAATAGTGCTGATTTCAGTAACCCCTGTCCCTCTCGCAGCCTCCAATGGACCGTCTGAGATTCTTGTCCTTTTTGATAAAGGGTGGGGATCTATGGAACCACATGCAATCAGCCCCTCAATTTGTGGGTGGCCCATGGCATAAAAAAATCATGGTAATGCTCCTTCACGCTGGAGGAGTCCTGCTTTCTGCTGTCTCTGCTGTCTCTGTTGCTAAAATTCTTCAACAGACTCCCTGGAGACTGTTGGCTTTTGCCTTCAAATGTCCCTGCTCAGGCAAGCATGTTGTCCAGAGAGTCACATACTCTGCCATGACTATTTCTGAGCAAATTAAAACTTGAAAGGCATCGTTAGGGACTTCCCTGGTGGTCCAGTGGTTAGCACTCTGTGCTTCTAATGCAGGGGGCCCAGGTTCGATCCCTGGACAGGGAACTGGATCCCACATGCTGCAACTAAGAGCCTGCATGCTGCAAGTAAGATTCCCACATGCCGCAACTGAAAAGATCCCGCGTGCTGCAACTAAAGATCCCTCATGCTGCACCGAAGATCCCACGTGCCGTAACTAAGACCCAGTGCAGGCAAATCAATAAATAAATATTAAAAAAAGAGAAAGGCATCATTAGCTCAGCAACCATGAGCAAAAGGAGACAAATACCCAAGAGGCCTTGAGTAGATGGCAGAGTAAATTCAGCCCACTTGCTTTGATGTAGACAAGCGCCACTCAAGGGAAAGAAGGGACAAGGACTCTAACCTAGAGATTAAGTCAGATGCAGAAAACAATTAACTCCCAGCAGAATCACTGCCTAGGAATACTGGATATCCCATTTGAAACAAGTCTCAATTATAAAGACTGCTGAATTAAAGAGGAGAGGAAATGTTTGAAATAGAGTTGTTGGTGATAGGTACTATGTATGCTTGCCCTTGACTCCTGATTAAAAATCATGGCCTTGCCGTGAAAGGAGGCAGGGTCCTGGTATGGAAGCAGTCTCACTCACAGACACACAGACACACAGACACACACACAGACACACACACACACACACACACACACACACGGCTAAATCTGCTCAAAATTGTATTGCAAATAAGAAGTGAGAGCTAATAAAAATCTTTTTTTTTTTTTTTCTTGCGGTACGCGGGCCTCTCACTGTTGTGGCCTCTCCCGTTGCGGAGCACGGGCTCCAGACGTGCAGGCTCAGCGGCCATGGCTCACGGGCCCAGCCACTCCACGGCATGTGGGATCTTCCCAGACCGGGGCACGAACTCGTGTCCCCTGCATCGGCAGGCGGACTCTCAACCACTGCGCCACCAGGGAAGCCCAAAATCTTTTCTTTTACGGTAAAGATTGGAAAAACTATGTTGGAATCCCTTAAATCAGGAATACGTGTATAGGCATATAACCCCAATTCTTCATTAAAATAGAAAATTTTTCTTGTCTGGTGAGATTGATCACTTTAAGCAAAGGAAAATTACAAAATGAAATAAAATGAGCTCTAACATTAATCTCACCAACCTTATCCCTAAAACCACTCTCTTCTAAGATTTCATTCTTATTCAGGACATATATATCAAATAGGTTAGAAGTCAACGCAGAGGGGTGCTTTACTCAGTGCATATAAATTCAGTTTTATTTAAAATGTATTATTAAATTCAATTTTTACAGAAATCATTGATTTCTTATACCAAATTCTGGCTGACCTGAGTTTTTAAGGGGCTTTAATATACCACTGAGTCAGACAAAACTTAAATACAAATATTGTCATTATGTCATATCATAATATCAAGACATTTTCACATTTATAAATATATATATTCACATATATATCTACTTATATATATAAATTTTATATATTTATATATAATTTTATATAGGGAGCCATGCTTTACAAGTGCTTTCTTCAGTTCTGTCCATCTGAATGCCCCTTGCCCTCTCTTTTCCCTTATGCACCCTCATCCCCAAACATAGCCATGTCTTTCACCAAAAAATTTTCAACAAGCCATAACAGTCCTATCAAAACATAAAGGAGAACAGATACTTGAAAGCAAAACAAGATGAAAGTGATGTGTACATAAATGCCCCCAGATCCATGGTTTTATTCAGAACTTGTCTTCTTTACCAGTTCACAAGAGGCATTAGCTATCTCATTCTCAGGACCTGCAACAAGGGGATGTAGCTTCTAGCCAGGTGGTCTTTATGTCAAATTTACATCAAAAGATACATTTAGGATTTCTCATGCTGAGATTGAGTCCTCAGATGGCAATCAGGGTAAATGGGGATGGGATGGGAGGAATCAGGAAAGAAGATACAGAAAGCAAGGTCCAATAGAGGAGGAAATATTTAGAATCTTATTGTCTAGGTATATAATGTATACAGTAAAGTGCATGTTTTCATAGCACTCTAAAATTATAGCCCGAGTTCATTATGCTATGACTTACAATTCACACAGAATTTAAAATGGAAATACAACACTCATGTATAGGCTAATAACATAGCTTTGCTGCCTTCAACTTCTGAACTTAGGGGCACCAAATATGACTTACATATCTGTAATAATTAGCTGTCTTATGATGGTAGGTACATCATACACACACACACACAAACACACGAATCTCAAAAATCAAAGTTGGTTTTTAACTAAAAATAACTTGCAGGTAACTTACAGTTATTCCTAGCTTTGAAAGTGACATGTTGATAACATCATTCACTGTGTCTGAATTTGTTACTGTTATAGTTACAGACTGCAAAAAAGAAGCAAGAAAAAATGCTATAAATTAAAAAAATTTAAACAGGTGAGTAAGTAATTATTGTTAAATTATTATCCATATTCTAAAGGCAAAGCTTGTATTCAGGTAATGACAAAGTAAAGCACATGTAGAACACAAACTCCTAATTATAGTTTTCCATTCCTTTATATAACATGAAGTTAGTAGAAAGCATTTCAGTAAAACAGAAAGGATTTGTTGGCACACAAAATATAACAGCTTGGGACTTCCCTGGTGGTGCAGTGGTTAAAAATCCGCCTGCCAATGCAAGGGACACAGGTTCGAGCCCTGGTCTGGGAAGATCCCACATGCCACGTAGCAACTAAGCCCGTGTGCCACAACTACTGAGCCTGCGTGCCACAACTACTGAGCTGCGTGCCACAACTACTGAAGCCCGTGTGCCTAGGCCCCGTGCTCTGCAACAAGAGAAGCCACCACAATGATAAGCCTGTGCACCACAGCAAAGAGTAGCGCTGCAACTAGAGAAATCCCGGGCGCGGCAACAAAGACCCAACGCAGCCAAAAAAAAAAAAAAAATTTTTATATATATATATATATATATATATATAAAAAACAGCTCAAGCAAGAAAGAGATAGACTGAGAATTCTGAGAAGGCAAATGGGCTGGTCGTCAGCACCGTAGCGCTTTTTCCATAATGGAGGAGGGATAGTTTAAAAAGGAGCTGGACTCTCTTCTCTCTTCCTGAGTTGTGTTTTTATAGTATGGCTTTATTTCTTTGCAATTATATAGTCAGTTAATTTCAACATTTTCCCCTATGTCTGTGTATTTGAATATTTCTTTGAAATACAATTATCAGATAAAATTATTTTTCTACATAGTAATTCTAAAGGCATTATCAAGCTAAAACTATATGGCCAATGAGAAAGATAGACACATATCTGCTGGATTTTATAGATTTTTTTTTTTCTGATGTAGATATCTATGTTTATTGACACCCAAGGTACTGTGCGGAAACTTCCAAATACATTGACCTGGAAAAAGTCATTTGAATAATTCTCTTCTTAGTGAAATACAGAGCCAGGATTATCCACTCCCTTGAAACCAAACCAAGGAGTTATCCAAAAGTCCAGAGCATAGTTTTGACTCTCCAGTAACACTGAGCACTTACCATATGCCAAGCACTGTTCTAAATATTTTATAAAACATTATTTCATTTAACTGTAAACTACATCTGGTAGTCTTTATTAGCCCCATTTTACAGATGAGGAAACTCACAGAGTTTTCTGTTGCCAAAAGCAACAGAAACAGGGTTTGAACTCAGACAACCTAGCTCATGAGCCTGTGCTCGTAACCACTTGGCCTCCATGGGTGTTGACCTGTGGCTCCCTGAAGAACCCTCCTCCTCTTTCCTATCCTGAGCTTCATCTCTTCCCCCAGAGTCACCAGGCTTTCTGAAGGGATTATTCTTTTATTTGTGGAGTGAGATGATAAATCTCACGATATTACACCAACAAAACTAGATGCTAGCTTGGAAATGTTCAAACTGTATCACAACAAAGCTTTATACTACAGTGGATTCTCCTAGGGTGTCATTGTGTTTCTTCACACTCAGTCACAACTGAGTGAGATTTTCTCAGTGGAAGTGAGAAAGAATGAACCTAATGTAAACTGACTTGAGGAGAAGGGAGAGGAGGGCTGCAGTTTTCATTTCCATTGTGTATCCCTTACTATGGATCCCCCTCTCCTTTCCTTTCCCTCAGCCTTATACTAGGGGGTAAGCCCCAATGGTTTGTGAAATTTATAGGATTCTAGGGAGATTTCTCCTATTCTAACACAGGGGTGTTGCCTTAGATGCTTAAGAGGAGGGGTTGTGGTATATTCTATAAGTGTCCTCTCACGGATAAGTTAATAGTAATCGTCATCTTTTATCTAAATAAAATTCATTTTTCACTGTTTCTGTATTCTTCAGTAACTGAATATGAGGATAGTGATGTCTAAGACAGTGGACTAGGTACAGTCCCTTCCCATTTGTAAATTCCTCATGGGCCTCTACTAGTATGAATATCTTAATATTTATAAAGCAGATCCTGTTCTAAAAAAAAAGTAATAATTTTACTTGAAAAATAACTTACTAATAAGCATTCCAATGACTATCAAAAATGATAATGAAGGTTTCATCTGAGTTTAATTCTTGAGAACAGAAGTTTCTAATGTATGTAGTACAAAAGAAAATGACAAAAATCTCAATAATTTTCACTGAATATTAACATCCCACACAACTGGAGGAATATGATTTCTTTGGTAAGAAATAAACATTTACGCTTATTATTACATACAAGCTAAAATTTACTTATTCTGACCAAATACATAGGTAGCAGTTAGTCAGCTATTTATTCCATTTGTGTTGATTTCTATAGCATCAACCTAAAGATGAGTTTTCAACTGAAGTCTGAAGATGAACTGAGGTAAAAGGGGACTTCAGTCCCCCCGCCCCTTTTTATGGCTAAGTGGAAAAACTCGGTGCTAAGCTCAGATGATGAATTTACACAGACGGATTCAGGGCATAACACAATCCTCCGTCAAGGATGAGGCATGACAGAGAAGAGAGATCACAGGAGGCTTTCTTTTTAATTGTTGTCTCTTTCTGGAAAAAGAAAAAACAAATTTTTCCTATTAATAATGATCTTGAATATACCTAAATGTTATTATGGGAATGATCTTGTAGGTGGTTTTCTAAAAATTGTGGTGAAAACTCATACAAGGTATCAGCACTCAGTACTGCTAGTCATTGCAGTGGAAGAACTGTGTCTCCCCCTCTCCCTGCTGACACCTTCATACACCGAAGCCCTCACTGCCAATACGACTGTATTTGGAGATAGAGCTTTTAGGATGTAATTAAGGCTTATGAGGTCATAAGGGTAAGATTCTAATCTTAGGATTGGTGGGCTTATTTGAGGAGGGAGAGAGATTTCTTTCTCTCTCCCCACATTCATGCAGTTAGGAAATGTCATAAGGGTAAGATTCTAATCTTAGGATTGGTGGGCTTGTTTGAGGAGGGAGAGAGATTTCTTTCTCTCTCCCCACATTCATGCAGTTAGGAAATGCCACGTGAACATACAGTGAGAAGACAGCCATCTGCAAGCCAGGAAGAGAGCTCTCACTAGAACCTCACCATACCGGTACCTGATCTCGGATTTCCAGCCTCCAGAACTATAAGGAAATACATTTCTGTTGTTTAAGCCACCGAGTCTATGGTATTGGTTGCATTTGTATTCAGGGTTGAGAGGAAAGTGCACCCAGTTGATTCTGTCTCCAACATATATTCCAAATCTGTCTGGCTGAATCTTTCATTTTCACTGCCAACCAACCCCTAACTTGTCACCCTGCTTCCACTCTTGCTTACTCAAAAATCCATCATCTACCAATAGTCAGAAAATTTTGCTAAAAATATAAACCAGATATGGTTACTGTCCTAGTTAAACACCCTTCAGCATAGTATTTCAGCCCCTTACTAAGGCCTGTGGAGACCCTGTGTGGCTGGACTCCTGACTCCAGTATCATATCCAATATCGTGCCCCCCACTTTAGGCTCCAGTCACACTGGCTTTCCCTGAACTCCTCCCTCCAGGGGGCTAAGCTGCACCCACTTACGCCTGCTGCTCCCTCAGCCTAGAAGGCCCAGCCACCTTGGCTAGAAATGGTGGCTGCTTCTCCCCCCACAGGTCCAGCTTAGAGGCTGCCACCTTGAGAGGTCCTCCTGGACAACCCCTCTGTAATATGGTACCATCTTCTACATGGTACCCTAGCTACTTTGTATCAGGAGCACTAATCACAATCTGTAATTTCCCCCTCTTATTTTTATCACCTGTCTCGTAAGCCCCAGGCAAGACAGACACTGCCTGTCATATTTTCTTACAGTAAGGGTTAGCAAACGTGGAACTGTATGATAAGTGGGAGAGCATGTAATGTATATGCACTTGGTATTAGACATAGGTATCAAATCACTGAATAAGAAGAGGTGCCGCTTCTGCCTTCTCCAGCCTCTTTTGAGTTCTACGGGGCTCTGGATCAGCAGGGTATGATTGGCTCCCTCAGTTGATGTAGTGTTTTCACTGTGGGTGGCCACCTCAACAGAAGGGCTTCTCCTGCAAAACATCAAACACCACAGAACAGCTAGTCTCTGGTCAGATATATGATGGAGTTTATGTTAAATATCAAGGTTCATACAACTCTGAAAATTAGGCTCCATCTCCCAAATAGGGCTTCACAGCTCAAATTCAGGAGTCAGTAAGTTATTGAAAGTTATTGAAAGAAATTAGGCTACTTAGGGAGTTGGTATGGACAGAGAACAGTTTCAGGAACAAAGCCCTGGCGCATGTGGACTCTTAGAGGTGGGGAAAAGGGGAAAGCGGCAAAGCTGGTCACGAACCGTTAGGAAGAGGAGAACCAAGAGGCCAAAGGTAGAGAGCATTACAAGATGGTAAAAACCAACAGCAACAAAAAACCAACAACCACCCAAAATAGGACAATTTGTGGCCTAATATAGATAAAATACAATGATATGGAGATTCGCAAAGACGTAACTACAATTTGGTGTCATGTTAACATAAAAATTTAGATAACGGAGGATTCTGGAAAATTGACCCCAATCTTATCTAAATCCATATTCAGAGTTTGGGGAAAATTCTCAAAGATCGGCAAATAATACTGGAAACATCAAAAAGTTTCTAAATACAAAGCAGTGCTTAGCTATTATTTGGTTGAGCTGTGACTAAGCTCTAACAGAACTCTGGTCATAATCGGTAAAACAACTAAACTGAACAGAACATAAAGACTCATAGATAGAGCAGAAGTTTTCATAGTTCTACAGAAAATTCTCCCCTGTGGAGCCAAAAGTGTTCCCCCCACACCCCCTCTACCCCGAGAATGTAAAGCTGCTCACCTGTGTTCAGCTGCACTGAATCTTATGAACACCAGCAGCTTTTCAGGAAACCAATGCTGAAGTTAAAAATGAGTTCACATGTCTTTGAGGAAATAAAACAAAACACCTCCTGTGACCACCAGTCTGTTTGGATGGTCAAAAATAGTATATTAAAAGGCTATGTGATGCGGTGAAGCCTTGAATGACCACCAGAAAGCTCCAAGTGCTCTTTGATTGACATAAACATCCTTTTTCCTCCAGTTCTTGGCACTGAAACTTGAGGATGTCTGCAGCACTTGGCGGAGTACGTGAACAAATCCATGAAGGCTGAGGATTCTGTAGTAGTCAGATCACTGGCCATCATGATGTCAATTCTGAGGCCGTGCCATAACTGACAAACGGCCATACTTGTTTCCCTGACTTTGCCTCCATCTTTTCGTTCTTTTAATTAATTTTTTATTTTGAAATAACTGTAGATTCCCATGGAGCTGTAAGAAATAATACAGAGAGAGTCTATAGCCTTTTACCCAGGTTCCCCCAATGGTAATATCTCTCTAAACTACAGTACAATACCATAACTAGTATATTAACATTGAAACAGTCAAGATACGGCACATTTCCATCACCTCAGGGAGGCTTTATGTTACCAGTTTACAGCCACACAGACTTCCCTCCCGCTTCTACCACCTCTTTAATCCCTGGCAACCATTAGTCTTTCTCCATTTCTTTAATTTTGCCATTTTCACGAATGTTATATCAACGAGATCATACAGTATGTAACACTTTGGGATTCGCTCTTTTCCACTCAGCATAATGGGAGATTCATCCGGATTGTTGCAGGTATTCATAGTTCATTTCTTTGTAACTCTTGGTAGTAGTCCATGATGTGTCACAGTTTGCTTAACCAACTGTTAAGGAAGGCCCAGGTTGTCTTCAGTGTTGGGCTGTTACAGATAAAGCTGCAACAAACATTTGTGTACACATTTTTGTGTCAACATAAGTATCCATTTCTCTAGGCTAAATGCCCAGGAGTGCAAATGTCTGGTTGTATGGTAGTTGTATCTTTTGTTTTTTAAGAAACTGTCAGATTGTTTTCCAGAGTGGCTGTACCATTTCACATTCTCACCAGCACTGTATGAATGATTGTTTCTCCAAGTCCACACAAGCACTTGGTGGTGTCATTTTTTTATCTTAGGCATTCTGATAGCTGTGTAGTGCCATCTCACTGTGGATTTAATTTGCATTTCCCTAATAGTTAATGATGCTGAACATCTTTTCATGTGCTTATTTGCCATCTGTATATCTTCTTCAGTGTTAGGGAACCTACAGTAATCTGCTACAAACATTTTATGTAAAGACACCTTTCTCTTTCCACTTGAAAACTGACCACTGTACAGTTGAGGAGGCTGGTGCACAGACAGTTTAGGTACTGGGAAACCAAGCAGCCACAGTGCAACTAAAGCGTTCAAATCCAGCTGACTCCCAGCCTCTGATCAGTGAGGCCCCCTAACCTCTTCTCATAGGGACGGTCTCTTTCCTTTGACAACAGTGGAGGACTGAAATTTGATCATATAATGAAGTTTGTGGTTTCTCTTGTAAGGCTCTTGTAATAGTTATCTGAATACATATCTTTTATTCCCCACTAGACTCTAAGAATCTCAAGGAATGAGTCTAGTTTTTATTTATCATTTAATTCTCACAGGCATTGGCACCTTGGAGGAATTCAAAACATTTTATGAAATAATTTTCTGCTGTGGATGAAGGAAGAAAGGAATAATCTAAAAGAGTCTCTCTTTCTTTTACTTCATTCATTGAACAGAGTGTTTGAACCTGTACTGAAAGAAAGGCACTTGGTTAGGTCTGGGCAGCAGGGAGCAAAAGGGACTTCGGCCCAGCTCTCTCACAAATCCTAGATTTAAATTGGGGAGACAGAAATTAAACAGGGTCTCACCAATAACTCTTAATGCCAGACTCTGGTAGGTACTACAAAGAAAAATTAGAGTGAGATGAGCAATTACAAGAGGGACCGGACACCTGACTTTTGATTGTGGAGAGGGCAGGCAAGGAAGGCTTCTTTGAAAAGCTCCTTTGAAATGAGCTTTAAAAGATAATTTGGAATTAACTGGGGGGGGGGGGGGGGGGGAGGGGGGGGGGGGAAAGGGGGAGGGGGGGGGGGGGGGGGAAAGAGAGGGGGAGAGAGAGAGAGAGAGAGAAAGGGAAAGAGAAGAAGAAGAGGAGAAGAGAAAAGAATATGTGTTGGGAGAGGATGTTTCTTTTTTTAAATAAATAAATACATTTATTTATTTCTTGCTTGCTTGCTGCGTTGGGTCCTCGTTGCTGTGCCTGGGCTTTCTCCAGCTGCAGCAAGCAGGGGCTACTCTTCGTTGTGGTACGCGGGCTTCTCATTGTGGTGGCTTCTCTTGTTGTGGAGCATGGGCTCTAGGCACGTGGGCTCAGTAATTGTGGCTCGTGGGCTCTAGAGCGCAGGCTCAGTAGTTGTGGCACACGGGCTTAGTCACTCCGCGGCATGTGGGAACTTCCTGGACCAGAGATCGAACCCATGTCCCCTAGCATTGGCATGTGTATTCTTAACCACTGTGCCACCAGGGAAGTCCGGGAGAGGATGTTTCATATTTCATGCTGAAGGGACAGAATTTGAGTATATGAAATTTCAGAGACATGAAAGAGTTTGCTAGATTGGAGACACTAACAGAAGGTTCAGGAAGGTGAAGTAAGTCTGAAACGGTGGGTGGAAGCCAGAAGCACAGGTCTTTTTAGTCCTCTGTGACCTTGTTAAGGCCTCTCCTCTTAAAACCAAACTAGCACAGATGCGGCATATAGACAGTGGCCTCCAGAGACTGCTCACCACTTTTAAAGGGACAGTGCTAGTCTGGACATGCCTGACTGTATTTAGAACCATGGAGGCTCATTGGGCGACACTTTTTGGCCTCTCATCAAACATTTGGCAGAATCTATGTAAGGCAAGAAATGTAGGCAGACGTATCTCTGCACCTTCCCCAATTCCCAAATTATCTCCATTCTCTGCCTATCCCTTTTGGAGAGGTTAGAGGCCAGGAAGACTTCTCCCCTTCTACAATCTAGTCACTGGTAATCAGTGCTGATATGCATCAGAATTGCTTTGAGGAGCTTTTTAGGCTGTACTCTCCCAGAGGTTTTGAGTCACCAGACCCAGAAAACCTGTATTTATACAAAGCGTTTTGCATGATTCTTACATGTAACCAGGATTGTGATTGTTTTTTAGGCATCCATTGAGAAAGAAGTGTTTTTGTACCATCTTCCCCTTGTAGTGAAGCAAAAGAGAGAAAACCTTTTCTCAGAAAGATCAAGGAAGCTTTCCTTAGTCATGTAATAATTATCTTTAAATGTAATAGCTAAAGCTGAATGTCTTCCAAATACTGTTGTTAGTGCTTTTAATTTTATGAAAGAACTCTAAATGGAATAACAGTGACAAGGTGTCTTTTCTTTTTTAAAAAAAAAATTCATGTATTTTTTTATTGGAGTATAATTAATTTACAATGTTGTGTTAGTTTCTGCTATACAGTGAAGTGAATCAGCTGTATGTATACACGTATCTCCTCCCTCCTGGACCTCCCTCCCACCCCTCCATCCCACCCATCTAGGTCATCACAGAGCACCGAGCTGAGCTCCCTGTGCTGTACAGCAGGTTCCCACTAGCTCTCTATTTTACACATGGTAGTGTATATGTCAATCCTAATCTCCCAATTCATCCCACCCTCCCCTTCCCCCGCTGTGTCCACATGTCCGTTCTCTAAGTCTGCAACAAAGTGTTTTCATTTATTTCATTGAACACTGAACTTTTGCCCTAAATGTCAAACAGAAGAGGTGATCCTATGCCAATAGAACCAACATTTAAACGTACTGCAAAGACAAGACTATTTTCTTAATTCTATTTTTTCCCTTAGATTTTTAAATCTTTGATCAAATGTCTGTATTGGAAAACAGATTGTGTATTGTCAAGAGCATGAGCTCTGGAATCCAATTACCTGTTTTGAATCCCTCCTTGTTCTTTACTCCCTACGTGAGAAGACTAGGAAAACCAGTTTACAATGTCCTCATTTGTAAAATGGAGATGATGATAAAAGTACATTCCTTATAGGCTGGTTATGAAAATTAAGTGAGGTAGCACTTCAGAAAACTTACTATGGTACCTAACACAGTAATCCCTGAATTAATGTTAGTATGCTCTTAGGAGACAGCGAGACTTTGTATTCAAAGATAGCAAGTAGTATCATGGATCTTCTTCCAAGATAAAGACAGGGAGACAGAACAGGTACCAATGTTGACTGACTACAAGTTGCCAAGCTCCTTGCCACGCAGTTTATGTACATCATCTCATTTCTTTGCAGCAGATTTGTGAGGTAAGAACCATTATTTATAGTTTTACAGATGGAGAAACTGAGGCTCAGTAGAGTTAAGTAACTGAGAGCCATATACCTAACAATTCATAGAGTCACATTTGTCTAATTTCAAAGTCATATAGTGTTTCCACAACTAAACAACGTTTCCCCTCTGGAGGAGGGAAGAAAAGATATTTAAGCCACATCATGTTTAGGTTGACTCCCAAATTATTTAATTGGAATGTATCTGAGTGTTTACATTAACTGTCAGCATTTGCATTTGGTGCCCATACCCCACTCTCTCCTCCTCAAAATGGCTGGCTGTGGAGTCCTTAGCCAGTGTTGGCAGCACGGACCAACGCTCAGACAGGAAGTTTGTATCAGTTCCCAAGGTGGAGAGTCAACTCCTGTTACTTTAAGGAGCCAGACCTTGGGTTTTAGACTGGCTGGGAGTAGCAGTCAGAACTGTGAAAGTGCTCTAATTGATGATTCACCTCCTGATGTCTAGCTGTCCACATCTCTGTGACAGATACCAGGCTGTGAATTGTGGCTAAACCTTTCCACTGCCTCCTCAGCCTAATCCCCATTCTAGGTCACTGTCCCTGTGAGTAATTTCTCTCCTGATTCTGGCACTCTGGACCTTCTACTACCTGCTAATTGATTTTTACCTCCACAAAAATGTAAAAGAGAGGGATGCCCAGGCCTGGGCAGTGAGCACTGGTTCCACTACCCTCTGCTACCCTCTGCTGGCCATACCTGGAAATTATGTTTAACCTTCAGGCCCTCGGTCCAAGGCGTATTCGTAATAGAGAGTGAGTGAGTGAATTCTGGCACACAAAAAACCAAGTAAATAAAATAAATGATACTTTCATTTATTTTTTTAAAAGTCAAATTTCAAAAAAATACATTAAAAATGTATTTCAAATTTCAAAAAAAAATACATGGTTAACAAAATATCTAAACGTACCCTTAAAGAATACAGTCATCCCTCAGTATCTGTGGGCGATCAGTTCCAGGATGCCCTGTGGATACCACAATCCACAGATGTTCGAGTCCGTTATATAAAATGGCACAGTATTTGCATATAACCTATGCACATCCTTCTGTAT